TCCTTCTGTCCTCCCTAGTCATTGTCCAGCTCTCTGATGCATAACAAGTGATTGCAAAGACCATGGTCTGTATCAGGCGCACCTTCGTCTCCAAAGAGACTCTGTTGCTCTTGAATACTTTAGAGAGGTCCCTAACAGCAGACTTTCCCATCGCAATACGGTTTTTGATTTCCTGGCTGCTAGTGCCAAGAGTGTTGACTGTGGAGCCGACCAGACTGAAGCTGTGAACAATCTTGATGTGTATATTTAAATAGTTGTATTAACAAGACATGCAAATGAATAATATCTTATCACTCTCAAAATTGCATTTCAGGATAGATCTTTAAATGCTCTTTTTGCTAATGAATGTCACACCATTCTTTACCAGTTTATGATTTCCAGATTGCAGATCATGTGATTATCTGATTAAAAATGATCATAACTGTCTGAGCTCACTAATACCTAAGATGTCAATGTTTAGGTTTTTCATTTAATTTTTTACTTTGACAACTTCTAATTTTTCTAGAATCATACTTTTTTACATTTTATGTTCTAATTATTATTGGATGTTTGCAACTATTTATTCTCATTTTTAGTCTTGTCACACCAGCATATGAAAATCCTTCACTGATTAAAACTTGACCCCATCAACATCATTAGGGTAATCTCTACTTTGAGGACACATCTTTTCCCCAGTCAAGATGAAAGCCTTCCAACATGAGTGGCTCATTTTCTGGCACTATACCTGACACTATCCTTCTATTTTCCATAAGATTTTTTTAAGTAGATGGTCAGTCCTGCTACTTATGTCCTGGTCTGGAAGCTCCACTGAAATCTATCCACTATGTAAGACTTTATTGATATTTGAAATACTGGTGCCATAGCTTGCAGTAACATACAAACCACTACAGTAAAGCAAACTGACAGACAAGTGGTAGAATTCAAGCCATAGTAATTTCCCTTGCTTCATATTTGGCAAACAATACTGACTATCCCATTGACTACTAAAAAACAAGCAATTCTGTCTTAGAGAAAATTCAACAAGGTAAAGAATACTTAGAGTCAAGGATGGGATATTATCAGGAAATGCCAGTTCTAAGGGCAAAAGTTCAGCAAAAGAGAGGATCACAATGGTCTAATGCCATTATACATGAGGGTGTCATGACCTGGACTCTTATCTATTCCTGAGGATATACTTTTGCATATATGTGATAACACAATGAAAGGACCACATATTAGAATTTTTCACATCCTTCCAGTAATGCAGAATTTTCATATACAGTAAGAGAGCTAGGGCAACTTAGTGGTAAGAAGTTACGCTGTCAATGCAAAGGCAGGGAATTTAAATCCAGCAGCTACTCTGCAGGAGAAAGAGAGAATCTTATCCAATGCCATTTACAAACTCTGAAAAGCTGCAAGAGGGTCAGCTATGAGTCAGTTTTTACTTTACTGCACCTAACAAGAGCAACATATAAAAGAAGATATACTGTTTCAACTAAAGTTATTTTTGTTTAATTCTTGGCAATACTACCTTCATTTTATATGAATAGTCTTAAAACTTGATTGTCAGCAAGTCTCACAAAGTTTATGTGTCTAAGTTCATAAGAATGTATTTATACACCACCCCAGGTAGGTCGTTAATCATACAATGTGAACAAGTTCTCTTCTATTTAGTGAGTTAATCATTCTGAAGGATGAGAGTCTTCATGAAGAATTAATGTGTTTAAGTGAGTGTCTGTACACATTTCAGAATAGCCTGTAGGGTCTTTTTTCCCTCTAGATACTTAACACTTAAATAGAATGTTCTAAAATGAGAAGAAACAGCTGCAAAAATCTATTAATAATCAGAACATGAAAGTATGAAGTGTAAAAGTAGGAAAGTAAAAAAAATTGTTACAAATAAAATGGAATGCATAAGGATCAATATCTTAAATATTAGTAAGCTGAAATGGAATGATAGTGAATATTTTTAATTGGATAGTCATATGATCTACTATGCTGTGAGTAGCAAACTGAAGAATAGTACTATATTTGTCATCAAGAAAGACCATTTCAAGATCTATTCTGAAGTATATCCACAATAGCTATCCACAATAGCATAATATTTATGTCCCTTCAAGGAAGATCAACTAATAGAACTATTATTCAAAATTATAAATAACTACTAACACCAAAATAACATAATTGAAGATTTTTACCAACTTATTCAATATGAAATTGAACTGGCTTGCAATAAAAATGCATTGATGCTGACTGGTGATTGGAATGTTAAAGTTGATAGTAGGAAAACAAGGCCTTATTGATAGAAATAACAGTGATAATCACATGAGAGAATATTACAAGACCAGTGACTGGCATGACATTTTTATGCAACAACAATCATTTCAGATTGTAACAAATTATGGAAAACACAGCAAATATTGAAAATTTCAGAACACTTAATTCTGCTCATGAGAAACTGTATAAAGATCAAGGATTAGTATTTCAAACACAAAGTAATATTGCATGGTTTAAAATTAGAAAAGGTGTACATAAGGGCTGTATCCAGACTTATTCAATCTATATGCAAGAATCTTGACTATGTGAAGAAGAAGGTTTTCATGAAATCTTTTCTACATTCTTAGAAATTTAACACTTTAGAAGTGTGGCGTCAGGATTGATGGAAGATCTATTAACAATCTGCGTTATGCAGATGACACAACCCTGCTTGCTGAAACTGAGGAGGACCTCATGCACTTGCATGGGTCAAGGGCTGCAGCCTTCAGTATGGA